TACGACGGTGACAATGGTGGGCTCTGAGTGAGGTGAGGTTAGTGACCTCAGATCAATGGTCAGATCACGCAGATCAGTGACCCGATTAGGCAGTAATTTGATACTTTTTGATCGGATGAAAGTAATTTCGGAACTAAGCTTGCTTACCGATGACTTGACAGCACTGGCGAGGGCTTGTTGCCGAAACGTCTGCTGTTCCCCTGTTGTTACTAGAACTGCCCGTCACGTAATTCGGCAGTCGTTCGGCTATGAGCCGTGAAAAATGCCTCTCAGAACGCCTCAAACATCATCTGGTAGTATCACAAGAAACTTATTTAAGCCAGCCATATTATCGACTATTATCGACTATTATCGACTATATATATGTATAGATATAGTCGATACATCCACGCATATCGACTATATATATATATATATATATATATATATATATATATATATATATATATATATTACTCTTATGAATAGCCATATTATCGACTATTCCGGATGCACTTCGAAAGGCATCGCACAAAAGAGATACTGCATCAGCTCCCTTTTGGGAACGCAAGCTTAAATCACAGCATTTCTGCCTTTCTATGAGAATTCTCACCGGATGTCCACTAAACTAGCATGACAATGGAGTGTATATCCTTAATGAAGCGGGCATACCAAAGATAAACGTGCTAGCCATTTTTTTAACTCGATATGCAACTCATTTTTTAACGTCCTTTGCACGCCGCATAGCGGTATCGATATTGGCATCAGTATCAGTATCGACATACCGTTGCCACAATACTTACCGAATATCCAAGACACCAGCCAGACAAAGGAGTGCACTACGTGAATGCAGCGGATACTTAAAAGACAATCTTGCAAGCCGTTTTTTGATATAAGACGCGAGCCATTTTTTGATATAAGACGCGAGCCATTCTTCAACCCCATTTGCGCACGCCACATAGGAAGTCCGTGCAGTGACGTCAGGTGTCAACGAATCTTCGTAACCTTTGCAAGGCATTTGGTTACGCAACATGGCTTCCGCCTGGCGATAGCTCAGTTCCGTTCGCTATCTGACCGACCACCTCTGATGTCACACCCGCCCGCCAGGCGGCTCAGAAGGCGCGGGGCCCCCGAGCCCGATACGGAGCGCCCGGCACCAAAGCCGCCGGCCGACAGACGACTGAGTCATTGCCCCCGGGTCGGCCTGCGGTCAGCTGAGGCCTTCATGACCAGGGTTGATGGACCGATGCTCCAGTGAGATGTCCGCCTGCGTTTCCTGTGGGCGTCCCGTTATCTGACGCCACGGTTGCGAGATCGCGAAGAGCAGCGGCAGAAACCAGTAGCGGCCCGCTACCTGGCGGGGACCGCTAAAGCTGGCTTAAGCGCCGCCCGCCGCCCGCTTGATAATGTAACTTCACGGCGGAGGATTAGCCAGCAATCGCCTGCGGACAAATCGGGGCTACTTTTAAGTGGTGTGAGTCCGATTTGTCGGTAGGGTAACACACGTCCACTGACAGGCAGACGGATTACATTAAACTTGCAGACATGCTCTGGCAGCATTCCTTGTGTAGGCCACCCAAGATGATTACTTCAACAGTCTGTGTTCTCTCGTGCGTCACACTATGTACTGTAGGATGGCGTGACTACAGCCAAACCAAAAGATCATGTCCACGGAGGGGGAAGGGGCGGGGGGGGGGGTGATATGGCGCGAGATGCATGACGGCATGCATGCGGAGCTGCATAGCTATCATACTCATGGATCTGAGGGACGATACGGACGGAAATATGCTATGTCAAACATCCCTTCACAAGTCCGTCTTCATTCGCTGCCGATGGTGAAAACGCGCTCCGTTGCAGTGTCTCCATTGATCAACTCATGCTGTGCGGCTGTGAGTAAACAATTTGGAGAAACAGCGATGCTATGACAGCATGGTTTTATTATCAGATGACGTACGGAGGAGGAGGAGGGGGGGGGGGGGGGGGAGGGGCTCATCCGTGTTCCACCCGGTGAGTTGGATATGCCACCTCCTAGCCCCACCTGAAGTTCTTCACCTGGCGTTCTTAGAGTCAGCCTCGGGTACGCCAATCTACACACGCGACTGCGCTCTTCGTGTCAGGCTTTTCGAGAGACGAATGCTGTGACCACTTGTGACTCGTAGGAACGGACCGGCCAAGTCTGCCGGCGGCGTTGTGGTCCCTGCGTGTGTCATTGGGGCTTTACGACGCACTCGGCTGCTGAGGCTATAGGGCGTCGCCTGCCTCTCACCCTGGCAGGAAGGGCGGGCACCGCGGGTAACCGAAACCCGTACTTCTGGTTTCCCAGATGCGCAATGGTTAACGCAGACGTGTTAACCACTACACTACCGGCGCCCCGTGTGGTCCCGTGTGGTCCCAGCCGACCACGTGACGATCCGGGACCGTCACTCCCCGTGGCACGAGACCAGCGGTTCCGGCGGCGGTGAGGTCCCTGCGGCGCCGGTCCCACCCGACCACATGACGGCCCGGGACCGTCGCTCCCCCGCGGCACGAGACCAGCGGTCTCGCCGGCCGGGCGAGCATCAGCAAGTCAATAGGGTTCTGCCCGCTACACGACACGGCGACTGCGCGAGCAGGCAGGCCAGCACAGCCCCTCGACGGGTGTGCCGGTGGTCACGAAACCGGCTATCTTCTGGAGGCCTTGCTGTGGGCCCCAAGTGTGATGCAATGCCTCTCAGTAGTATTATTGCAGCCAGCAAAAGAGTTAAGTGCGCGCTTATGCACGGGTTACTTAAATTATGTGCTTGGCGCGGAATAACTTTGCTGCACGGGATGCTCCAGCGCTGGCAAGCAACTTCGGTGCGACCGCAGACTAGTGGCGTGGAGCAGCTTGGAAAAGAATCGCAAAGACTTCCAAACGGTCGCGGCTCACACCCTTTGTTTCGACCACAGCTTCGCCATTGTGTTTGAGCCTTGGCGAATTGGAATAACCGCGAAACCTGTTGTTGAGCGCGCGCGATAAGAATGCCTGAGCTTTGTGGATCATTTATTCTAGCAGCAAGCCAAACAGTCCCAGAATACATTAGCTGCACATTCACCTGGTCACCCGTTCGGTACAGGGCAAAGGTCTTTGACCCTCGAATGCAATATTCGGAAATGCACATTGGGATGTTCAAACCACATATTCAGCATGTTTACGTGTGTTGTTCGAAGAGCATCCAAGATAATTGGTGGCTGTCACGAAAAATTCACCACGATTGCTAATGACGTTGCAAGCTGAGCTAACAGAAAATAATTGAAAGCCACTTTATATATATATATATATATATATATATATATATATATATAAAGTGGTGTATATATATGCGTTGTATATATCGCTATCATTCTCCAAAAAAACTCTCTACGACTCATCTCGAGCCCATGTTAGAGGTTAAAGAAACGCAGATGCAAGTTGAAACGTGCCTGGGGAAACGTCAACTGCAGAACAGATAAAGCATGTCGAAGCGGAATGATATCGGTCACAGTGTTCGACGACTTGGCGTCACGACGACACTATAGAAACAGACTTTGACGAGAAGAAAACGGACAATCGTATCCAGACAAGCGTGGGTCGATGCGTTCGGACTATCCCGCGTTCTCACGTGCAAAACATGAATCCGTCCGTTTCAGTTGCTTGTTGTTGGTAGCCAATCGTTTTTCCAGGCTTCCAATAAAAGTTAACGTTGAACTTGTGCGGGAGATGGGCGGGCTGTGGCGGGCGACTTATCGGCTCCGGCCAGTATCCCCTGCTCCCCAGGTGCACAGCCATGATGGGCCTGAAGATGACATATGGTCACAGTCATGATGGGCCCAAAGATGACATGTGGAGTTATTCTACTCTGGAGAAGTACATGGCGACATGCCCTGATTTCAACCGACTTTGATACGTAGCCTGCGAAAAGCTCTGCACGGACTCACGAGTGCCAAATCGGCAATCAGTATTTGTTATCCTTACAATGTCGAAGATGGCGCATCTACAAAAGCTCTCGTCCAGGCATTGCAGCAGACCTCGGTACGTAGACACTATGTATAGGGTAATACTATCATGGCCCGCTGGGCAACGCTCACTGGGCTCTAAAGGCAACGCATCGCGCAGAAACAATACACAGTTTGTTGGAAGTTAATCCTTTAAGTCTTCTCCGAACCTTAACAGGCGATTGTAGGCTGCAGTGTTCGAGGCACCGCATATTTTTTCAAAAGTCATCTATATTATGTTGCTGGAGGCGACTCGGGCCCGCTTATCATTTACACCTTCCCGGGCCGGCGGAAATGCCTCAGAAGTGGTGCGGGCGAATCCCCCCGTCAAGTGGATTGTTCGCGAGCACCAAGATCACTTTAAGATTGACGTTAAGTGTTAACCGTTCACGACATGGGGAAATTTCGTATTTCCACCGAACACTATGCTCCTTCGCCTGTGCGTGCTCGGACCAATTACGGAACAGCGCCAGTAGCAAATTCGTAGTAAAAAATGTGTAGAATTTGTGTTTACCGGAAAGACCGTGCAATCGTGCCACCAATGACGGATCTAGGGCGCCAGTGAGCTACAGTTCACTCGATGACGATGAAAACTGAGCTTTTCGTTCTTTTGGCTTGATTTGTTGAGTGACATTTTGGGAACGTTTAGAGAACACGGCGCGTTACATCACGTGATTGCCCGACGAAGTGTCGTCACACCTGTGACGTCATGTGGAATCAACCAATCGCCGCTAATGTGGCCGTTAGGAGCTCGAAGTGAGGAGGTTCCTCAATAGGCGGATGCAGGAGCATGTACATGCATCCATGGTGCCGCATCTGCTTACGTTAGCTTCAGTTACAGAATGGCGTAAATTTCCATTCCGCTGAGCTACACCGTTGAGTTTTCTGCAAAACCTCCCAAGTCACCGTCCTGGATCCGCCCTTGGCCTACTCACCACGCATGGCCACCGCCGCCGTGCCGGGCAGGTGAGCCGAGTTCATTTACATCGGTCCGGTCCCCATATGCCGGCGATATAGTGAGCTGGAGCGTCGTCGGGCGCAGTCGGTCAGTTGCGAGCGGTCGTCGGCTCGGTGAGCAGGTCGGCAGCCGAGCTCCCGCCTCGACGCCAGCAGCGCCGCCGCCACCGCCCGCCCGCGCACACTCTGCGGCAGCCACAGGTGGGCCCCGGCACCGCGACCATCCGTGTACTGGTCTCGGGTGTTATGAAGTGTCTGGTGTGTGTCGTGGTGTTCCGGCAAGCTGCGGATGTTTTCTGCAATGCTGCTGATAAATTGCGTCCAGCGTAGACGTTTGAGGGGAGTTTCAAAATGGCAAAGCAGAGTCTATGTCATTTAGCCTGTACTTATACTCAAGTTAGGTATGAATAAGTGGCGTTATTTAAATAGCGGTTTTTCAAAAAATAGGTTCGGCTATCTCGCCTCTAACGCATGACAAAACAGAGAAAGGTTCTCACATGATCTCTCCGGTACCCATGACCGACCAAATCTAATCCGGATCACTTTGAGCTATTACCTGCGATAACTTGAACAAGCACTGCTCGACAGCTTTATTCCACGCATCTGGACCTATTGAAAGCCACGTCAAGGTGCGCTGGCATTTAAACGTGGGGCTTTGGCACGAATTCTTCATGACAGCTGTCAGCAAAGACGGCGCTGACATTAAGCGGAGATGCTAGTTGGCTGCCCGGATTAGGAGCCACATGTCAATTAGCACTGATCCTGACTTTAATCCCCATTCCGAGGACATCTGGCGCTGTTTCAACGTCACCTTTGGGAAGGTCGTTCATTCATTCATTCGCTGAGCGGGAGCTGCTGCGTCATGGAATGCCTCATATAGCGCTGGAGTCGATCCCGGCAGCCGATCCCAGCAAAGGCGCGCCACGAATCCCTCCCGGCGCTCCAGACCCACCTGAGTAAGATAGCCCAGCCAGTTGGAGGCCGGCCCAGTTGGGTGCTCTAGACCAGCCGGTTGCCGGAGAAGGCAATAGAAAACTTCTGAGAAAAGGAGCTCTCCAGCCATACCGCACGGTATGCATGTAATAACGTGAATTCCGGGCATGCAGCTTCACCTGGGTTTGTTTGGCATCGCTGCATATGATTCCACGTCTAATCGTTTTTCTGGGATAACAACTGCGACGTAACATCCAAATCAACGATCCCAGCCAAGCCCAAACAGTGTGACTGGCCCTTGCGTCACGTTATCATTGCGTGACGTGTGCCCCGTCCGCGCAGCTGTGTTGTTCATTGCCGCCCCAAGCGGGAAGGCTTAGAGGAGCAACTCGCCGGATTCCCAGCTGGCTGAGCGAGCGGTTCCATGACAAATTTTTGCATTGCATTTTGTTGCATGGAAAATTATATCATAGGCACAAGCCTCGGTTTTGAGAAATGGGAGCTGCTAAGCTATGGAGCGAACGAAACAAGATGCAACCCATTAAACAGATCAGATGGCTACATCGTAAACAACGGAACGAGGAAAAATGAACAGGAGCGAATTCGAGAACACTCGTTTAAGAAAAGTTGTAGAACGTCAGTCCACGAATTTTTGCACTGGGGTTAGTAGGTGTTATGGTTGTGTGTGTTAGACGACACACTCAACATCCCCGTCACTTAGAGTCGCCATGCTTGACGTGGACGCCAATGAGCTTGTAGCTAGCTTCATGCTCGTGCCTGAGCGGTTGTGAGGCGCTGGAGGCATGTGTCTGCGCCTCTTTTCCAACAAAATCCCGGCTGTTCCCTGCTCTTTATCGGCTCCTAGCCGAAAAATCGCGCCCACTAATTGCTGCCCGTGTGCATACCGATCAGCAAGAAAAGACGCCTTCTGTGTCTTCCCAGCACGTCTCGCTATTACTGACACGTAAAACGTGAGCCCAATCATGACGGAACTCGAAAGAGCTCGCAGTGGCCCAGGGAAACACCATGACATCAAAATTTTCTTAATGGATTGAACAAAATTAATCATTCCCGTCAGGGAAGGCGGATGCAGGAGATAAAATAGAAAATCCAGATTGTGCTGACGGGAGCAGATGCCAGAAAATTGAATAGTCCATAGCAGAGAAGCTGGTTCTGTCCAATAAATTCCTGGTAGCTGCGGACACCGAACTGGCGTAGCTATTCCATCCGTGTCTGCTTCACTTTGTGTGCCCTTTACGGAAACACAGCGCTGCGTTTCTCGAGGCACCTACGTAAATGTAGCATTGATTACATCAGAACCATGCGCTCACTGTACTGCCGCAGTTACGCGTTATGTTTTTCTCGATATCAGCTATCTTCCCTCACAGCACCCGCCCTCGCTGCTAGGTGAGAGGCTGCTGACGCCATGTAGTCCCAGCTGTTGGGAACGTCGTAAAGCGCCAGTGGCGACATGTTGTTCACTATTTTGGTTATTCATATTAACGATATCCTATTTACTAGTCATAGGCATACGCTGGCTAATTTGGCTATGAAACAAGACGCCATCGCGCGCTGTTGGAGCTGCGGTCCCGGTCCCGTGGCGTCCCCAGTTCCCCGCGGTACACAGCAGTCCTGCCGTCGCCGCTCCCTGGTGGCCACCTGTCATGCCCGCCTGCTCCCTGACTCAGCGGCCATTACTCCATCGTGGAGCAACAAGGCGCGCTCGCCTGAGCCCGCCTTGGCTGGTGGACGCAATCAGAGTGGAAACACCGCTGGCTTCCGGAGATGCGTCGCGCTGCAGGCTGCAGCCGCTGCAGGAGGCGGCGGCGGCGACGGCGGCGGGCGTCGAACCAGGCTGCGGTCAGCGGCGTCCTGTCAGCCGTGAAGCCGTCCGCGCGCCGCCGCCGCCGCCGCCGCCGCCGTGGCGCGGCGGCCGCGGCGCCGGCCCCGGACACGAGCGTTGGCTGCCGGTGCCGCCCGCTCGGCGAGCAGACAGACCAGAGGCGAAGGTGCTCGGCTGGGCTGGTGGCCAGCCGGGCTACCACCAGGCGCTGAAAGAAGGCAGCGATATGTCTGCGGAGTGCCAACAACGCCAACAGGATCTTGGTCACACGTTTTCTTCGAGGAGGCGGCAGGACCAGACCATGCTTTCTTTGAATCGCTTCATGACGTGCGGGAGGACTAAGTTACACAGGGAGGGGAGGCCCGGAGGGCCGACAGCTGCCGTGCGGCTCCTGATCTCTTGTCATCAGACTGCCTTTACAATGCTTCAGCGACCTCGCGGTTTATGGCCAGCCAAAACCGGAGCGGAAGCGGCACGCCGTGCATTGACCTGGCACCTGGTCTGACCTCCGCGGTACAGTGCAAGGCCCTGAATAATTGGCCACAGGCCAGCGGCAGGTCGGCAGCGAGTCAGCAACAAGCCACCGACGGGCGCGTCAGTCACCGCCTTATCTGTCCGCCCCGAATGGCGGCGGTGACGCTGGTGGGCAACAGCATGACGTGACTAGTCAGAGCCGGCGACGGAAGCCGCTGCGGAGCCTTCGCAAGAAGTGTCCAGCCACAAGAGCGAGACTCTTATCTCGCGCGAGCATCGCGCGCGGTAGCGGAGGGAGATACCTCATGCGTGACAAACTGACAGCGCGTTATAACGCCGCCGCCGCTGCGGACGTTGATCTCAAAACACCGATGTTTTATGCTTATCGGTGAGGTTTCAATGCATCATCTGTGGTATCGGCAGCATCGATATTTTTTGTGAGTGGGGTTCGATTAGGTTCGATTTATCTTATGCCAATCGCCTTCATTACGGCTACTGCATTGAAAACGTAGCTTCAAGTGAACGGTTTCGTACACACTGTGTTCCACAACTGAGGTATGGGTCCACTACACTAAAACAACCGACTATCTCCCATCAGTGGCGTGATAAACACTGCGCATCCGCAGCGTATAGCTTACTGATGTATCAAATCCAACAGAATTGGTGTTTGCGCCCACGTGTCTACGACAAAGTGCCATGTGACTGCCTCAAGCACGGAAGTGTTTGACAGAACGCTTCAACCTTTTTCTCCCCCATATGTTTCCCACGTCTTCACACACACGAAGTCATTCATGTACCGCAAAACGGAACGACCTAAAAAATTGCCTGCCTGCCGTACGGAGTCTTAGATCTGCGACTGCTGTCGTTCGTCCAGCTCACGCTGTCAGAAGGCTGTCAGAATACATTGAAAGTAGTCGCCGCTGGCCCGTCCATGGCTCCCATCGCAGCAGCTCGAGCACCGCCTCTGTCCAAAGCACCGTCCGCAGCCTCACGCCCCATCAACCCAGGCGATCTGTCCGCGGCCACCGCCTCTGTCCAGAGCATCGTCCACAGCCTCACGCCCCGTCCCCCCAGACGATCTGTCCGCGGCCACCGCCTCTGTCCAGAACACCGTCCGCAGCCTCACGCCCCGCCCCCCCCCCCCCCAGACGATCTGTCCGCGGCCACCGCCTCTGTCCAGAGCACCGTCCACAGCCTCACGCCCCGTCCCCCCAGACGATCTGTCCGCGGCCACCGCCTCTGTCCAGAGCACCGTCCACAGCCTCACGCCCCATCCCCCCAGACGATCTGTCCGCGGCCACCGCCTCTGTCCAGAGCACCGTCCACAACCTCACGCCCCATCCCCCCAGACGATCTGCCGCGGCGTCACGCGTCGTCACGCGGACGTGCCGTGACCGGGTCGCCGTCGGCGGGCACCGGGCCAGTCCGGCACCGTCGCAGCCTCGGGTGGACCTGTTGACTCGCGGCGGCCGGCCCGACACAGACGAACGGCCGATGATGCGCCCGCGCAGATTAGGGCCACGCTGATCCAATTACGTCATAATGGCGTCACTGGCCGGGCCACAATCAGCGGAGGGCGCCTGTGAATTTTCCGCCGGTAATTGCGCCGTCTGGGGGAGCGACCCGTTAGCCGGGGCCGGGGTGACCTTTTCCGTGACCGGACTCGACATGGTCGCGGCGATTATTTCGGTACCGGCCCGGGGACAATGTGGTCTGCAATAGGTTCACGACGTCACCAGGGCTGCCTTCCGTCTTCCGCCGCGTCTGACGAGCGCCAATCTGGCCCCATGTGTGTGTGTGTGTGTGTGTGTGTGTGTGTGTGTGTGTGTGTGTGTGTGTGTGTGTGTGTGTGTGTGTGCGTCTGTGCCGTTTGGGGGCGGTCGCCTCGGCCGGTACGGTTGGACGCGTTGTGAACGGAACGCGCCGTGCCGTCACGCGCCACAGCTCTTCT